TCTATTAGTAAAGCTAGTGAGCACCACAGCTGAGTTTTCAAGCCCTCCCCAAGCTTCCAGTTTATATGGTTCAGATTTTATCATAGGAAATCTTTTTTTTTTTTAGATTTTATTTATTTATTCATAAGAGACAGACAGAGAGAGACAGAGAGGCAGAGACACAGGCAGAGGGAGAAGCAGGCTCCATGCAGGGAGCCCGATGTGGGACTGGATCCCGGAACTCCAGGATCACGCTTCGGGCCGAAGGCAGGTGCGAAACCACTGAGCCACCCAGGGATCCCCTTATCACAGGAAATCTTGAGTAAAAAAGATGTTCAAACCTTTTTGGAAAAACCTGTGGAGGCCCAAGATAGAGATTGGGAAGTAGACCCAACCCCAGTTTCTCAATGTAGCCCAGCATGGGGACCAGGGAGGAGGCAGTGAAAGAGCCCTTGTAAGACCTGCTGGAGATCATCCAGCCAGACAACCAGTTAGATGAGACCCTTGGGTATTTTATCCCTCCCCCAGAGAAACCTGCCTGCCACACGTACTTAGACCTACATCAGAAATAAGAATGCTTAGTGCTCCTGTTACATATTCCCTACCCCTGCCTGAAGCAAAGAAACAGTGTTGAATCATTTTAAGTCTCTACTTGCCATAATGTATGGGAATGGATTGTTTGCTTGTCTTCCTTATCCCTTAAGAGGATTTGCCTCATCCACCATCACTCCTGGCATAATGCCAGGTGCAAAAAGGACTTAAGAAAAGTTAATCAAAGAAAAGAGGTGACTGGTAAGCCGGTAACACAAGTAGGCTTGCATGATGAATGCCATGCCTTGAAACTGAAGTAACAGAATGGTCGCGGCCAGACTGCCTGGGTTCAAATGCCATCTATACCACATACTAAACTTTGCAGAAGTTACTTAAATTTTTGTGTCTCCATTTCCTCAAGGAAACAATAGTATAACAAGGAAATAATAGTATCTACCACATAGGATCACTGTGAGGATTAAAAGCATAAAAAGGTCTTGACACAGTGCCTAGGACATAGTAAATGCTTGATACATGTTGTCTGTTATGATTATTACCTATCCCTAACCTGGCACAGCAGGAAGTCTTTTCAGTAAAGAAAATAGAAATAATTATTGTAATACAGTAACATAAAATACTGAAATGAACCTTTGTCATTCTTTTGGCTGCCCAGCTCAAAAGCCCTTCCTGAGACTAGATGGAAGGCAGAGATGGCCTCTCACTAAGACACTACAAAAACCATCCCCAGGCTGAATGTTCAGGACTCCCTTCCAGCTAGAGTTTGTAGCATATGATCCAGGCTTGACCCGTCAGACACACGCAACTCAGGCCTAGCACCCGGAGCTAGTGGTGCCAGACAGAAGGGATGGAGAACTTGTAGCAGTCATGCCCACTTTCTCCAGAGGTAGCAGCAGTGGCCATCCCAGTGGTAGCATGCAGAGCCGCTGATGGCTATGTAAGATCCGCAGTATCCTCACAAGACTGCGGCTGGCTCTGTTGCCAAGGTCCTCTTGTTCCTGTTTTCAAGCTCACATCTCTATCCTCTCCAGAAGTGCTTTAAACCACCCACTGTTCTTTTCTGCTTTCTGCCAGCCTTAGTTTTTCTTGGTGTAATTCAACCTGCCAGATTGATATAGATGATCAGATCAGATGGTTTAATAAAATGTAAGTCCACTATTTCTACTTTGTTTTATTTGTTTATTGATTTGCAGTGTGTCTTCTACTCAGCTCCTGTTGCGGTCTATTTTTCTAGATGATTTTGTGGTGTGGGGGTGTGAGTGAGAACAATCAAATTTTAATTGACTGGAACCTACCCTTGGAGAAAATCAGAAGACTAATGAGTGTAGGAATAAAGGAAAATGGAGGGTGAGAAGCAAAGTCCACAAAATGGAGTGCCTTGTGCGGGAGAGTATCGTAACAGAACTGACTTCATTTAATTTAATTGGTTTGCTTTATAGATAAGGAGCCCAAAACAAAGAACACACAGCTAAAGTATGTTCAAGATAAAACCAACTCTATCTTCACACTCTTACTCCAGGGCTCCTGCCTCTATCCATTCTAAGAGGCAAGTGACCTAAAAGCAAGCTCAGATCAGGTTATATTCAGTTCAATTAATTATACCTTTTAAGTTTATGGTTGCTTATGAAAAGAATTTACACTATCAAGAGCTTTTTACAATTTACAGAGCACTGATTAAGTTCTCTCAACTGCTCTGAAATAAGATAATCATCACTTTTTAAAACAAGGTGTTGGGGGCAGCCTGGGTGGCTCAGCGGTTTAGCACCACCTTCAGCCCAGGGCGTGATCCTGGAGACCTGGGATCAAGTCCCACCTCAGGCTCCCTGCATGGAGCCTGCTTCTCCCTCTGCCTGTCTCTGCCTTTCTCTCTCTCTCTCTCTCTCTCTCTCTCTCTCTCTCTCTCTCTCTCCCTCCCCCTCCCCCCTCTCCCTCTGTCTCTCATGAATAAATAAAATCTTTTAAAAATAATAATAAAAAATAAAACAAGGTGTGGTATTTATGTCTTGAAAAAGTTTGTAACGTTTCTTTTACCTGTGGCTGTGCCCCCTTTTCTATTTCTTTTGGTGTTGAAGTTGTAGCTACAAAATAAGTCAAGAGGAAAGCAGTATTAGCATATTTGAACAAAATGGTCTGCTGGTTGGAACCATCATAAAAATATACTGGATGTTATTAACCTCCATATTACAAATGAAGAAGCAGAAGCGCAACGAGATTATATGACTAGGCCAAGATTAAATAAACACTAAATGGCAGAGCCATGACATGGTTCATTTAAAAAACATATTAACATATATTGAGCATTTAATGTGTCAGACTGGATAAACAAGATATAGTGGTAGTTAATCCCTAGATCAACCAGAAATTTCTATAACCAGCATATTACATTCTAAACCACTTTTATGGAAGTTTTTTACTGAACCATAAACTAATGTTAGCAGCTGGCCAATCAATAAATACTCTTCTACTTACACAAGATTCATGTAGCCAGATCTCTTTGGTCACAGACTATGAAATATACTAAAAAGGTCTAACTCAGAATCATACTTTACATGATTTTTCTAGATTCTCTAAAGTAAAATGGAAATTTGTGATTCTCAGATGTCCCCCAAATGAACAAAACATTGACAAGAATATGAAGTTGACTATATCACTGTATATAACCAATCATTAAGATCTAGATTTATTTTTTTTAAGATCTAGATTTAAAAAGCTATTTTCAACTTCAGTTGTTTCACTCTAATGTCGTACAAAGAGGGAATTTTATTGTCAGCATAGTTTTTCCAAGTGTTTCCACAGATTATGAAAGTCACTCGTCAGAGGAAAACTAAGCTAATTTACTTGGACATAAAGAGGATAATATATTTTTTAATGTAGTTGCAAATAACGAAAAACTTTCCCTTTCCACGTTTCATAATGCCGTATTTATTTTCTTCGGGTGATTGATTCCTTTGACCTGGCGTTGTAGGTTTTCACCATTTAACCAGTCCAGGAGCGAGCAGACCTGCCCTTTCTCACTGATGCTATACCAGATGCTCCCAGATCAATGACAAGAGGGGAAACACTTTATTTTTTCACAATTAAAATAAGAATTGTAGATTAATACACAGTGATCATGCATGGGAAGGAGTGAGATACACACTTTTATTGACTGTAAAATGGAATTTAAAGGAAGGTTTGTGTTACTTGTTGAGTTGAAATAAATCCTTTATACTGGGGGAAAAAAAAATCTCGTACATCTAGCTGAGCCAAACCATTTGTATTAAGACCTAAATACTGAGACCCAAGGTTTTCAAAAAAAAAATTTTTTTTTTCATTGCTGCTTTTCCTTGAGCAAGTTGAAAGAAAAATGGGGCGTGCTTTTAAGTGAAAACTAAAGATCCTGGCATCATAATGCAAAGATGACTGCCACGCCTTCCGGACATCTAATAGGGGTGTGTCTGTTAAAGGAACGTTTCCTTTGGGGTCAACGCATCAGCAGGCGCTACAGGGCAACCTGCCGGGAGCCGTCCTCGGGTCCCGAGTTGCCCCAAGCTCTCCTGGCCACGCCCACCCCGTCGCTCAACTCGCGGTCCCGCCCCCTTCCACCTCCCACCTCCTGGTAACCGCGCTCCTTTGCGCGGCCTCCTGGGCATCTGATTGGTCGGCGTGGTAACCGCTAACGGCTGCGGGGTTTAAACCGAGCGCTCGCCGCCGGCGCCGCGCCTCAGGAGCTGGGTGCTCGTCGCCCCCGTGCCGGAAGGGGGTAAGTGCGGGGCCCTTGGCGCGGCCGCCCGGCTGTGGGGGAAGACCCGTGCCTTTCCCGGCCGGACCCCCGGCCCTGCTCGCCCGTCTCCGGTCCGGCGGGCCCCGCGCGGCCCGTGGTCCCGCCCACCGCCCGCCCTCCCTCCGCCCTCGGACCGCTCTGAGGGCCTCTCCCCGACTCCCTGGCTTGGCCGTGAGTGGCGGCCTCTCGTCCCTTTGCGCCCGGCTCGCGACGGGGACGGGGACGGGGACGAGCGGCCAGTTAGGTCAGCGTCTTGAAAGAAGGGGCTTCCGTCAGCGCCCTGATTTTTAAGAACATTTTCTACCTCATCGTTGTGAGCACTCGCTCAGTAACTGCTGGGTGAACGTTAGAGACTGCTTACCCCAAGTTCTTTTCTTTCTTTCTTTTTAAGATTTTATTTATTTATTCATGAGAGACACAGGCTGAGGGAGAGGCAGGACCCCCAAGGGAGACCTGACGTGGGACTCGATCCCGGGTCTCCAGGATCAGGCCCTGGGCGGAAGGCGGCGCTGAACCGTTGAGCCACCCGGGCTGCCCTCCCTCATTTTTTTTTTTTTTAGATTTTATTTATTTATTCATGAGAGACACAGAGAAAGAGAGAGAGAGGGAGAAGCAGGCTCCCTGCAGGGAGCCCGACGTGGGACTGGATCTCGCGACCCCGGGGTCACGCCCTGAGGCGGAGGCAGGTAGATGCCCAACCGTCGAGCCACCCAGGCGCCCCTGCTTACGCAAGTTCTTGGGGGGAGCCCTCTCCGTTAGGCTCTCTACAGCCAGGAAGGCCGGCTCAAGGCGAACGGGTGATGGAAGACTGGGAAACTTAGAACTTGCGCTGGGTCTCCATGGGCAGGTAGGGTTTCGGTAGGGAATAGGAACGACAGTTTCTCTACCTGACGGATCCGATTCAGGAGAACCGAATTAGGAGCTTAGTATTTCTGATGTAGAGTTAGCCGGGATGCTGGAGACCTGAGCTGCAGAACAAATAATAAAGAAGGCCTGTTAGCGAGGGCTGTATGCCTAGTCCTTGGGCAGCCCCGGTGGCTCAGCCGTTGGGCGTGATCCTGGAGACCCGGGATCCGGTCCCACGGCGGGCTCCCTGCATGGAGCCTGCTTCTCCCTCTGCCTGTGTCTCTGCCTCTCTCTCTTCTCTCTCTCTCTCTCTCTCTCTCTCTCTCTCTCTCTGTCTGTCTCTCGTGAATAAATAAATAAAATCTTTTAAAAAGATATATGCCTAGTCCTGTACTAGACTCTGTATGTACATTGTTGGTTCGTTTAATCCTTACAATGAGATGCTCTTACTATTACTTTGTAAGTCTGAAAGTTGAGACTTAGAGATGTTAAGATAACATAGCTATGAAATGTTAAAACTGGGATTCCCAACACAATCTCAACCGCTGTTCATAACGCCTCACTTTTGATGTTAAGTCCCCCTTGAATGGTAGGTACTCCAGTGGTCTGCCTAGGTTCCTTGAGTGTTACTTAGTGGGGCTGTTAATGTGCAGGGTGACAGGGCAGTGTTAAAAGGAACACTGATTTTCTGGCTTGAGCATTTGGGTGGATGATTGCTAGTGCCATTTATTAAGTTAGGGAACTAAGAACCAACTTACTGGGCAGGACAATTAAGTAAAATGAGATTTGATCCTTCAGACTGGATTTTTTTTTGGGGAGACACACAAGATTTCTATGTTAGTATCTCTTCAGAGGTGTGAGATGCAACCATTTGTTGGGAGTTTCTGTATGTGCCTGCCTTCTATCTATGGAATATGTGATCTTTGATTTTACTTTTTTTTTTCTTTTTGGCAAAACTTTTATTTATTTTTTATTTTATTTATTGTATTTTTTAAGATTTTGTTTATTTATTCATGAGAGGCACAGAGACAGAGAGGCAGAGACACAGGCAGAAGGAGAAGCAGGCTCCATGCAGGGAGCCCAACATGGGACTCCAGGATCACGCCCTGCGCTGAAGGTGCGCTAAACCGCTGGGCCACCAGGCCTGCCCTTGGCAAAACTTTTAGAAGAAACATTGAGCCTTAGCATTGTAAGGTTTCTAGTTAAACTGCCCCATTGCCAAAAATTCTTCTAAAACTGTCTTCTCATTATTTGTTTGACATCTCCCTATCTTCTGCTCAACATTTGCAAAGGAGACTCATTCCAGTATTGGTCAGTTTTTAGTATTCATTTATTCATATTTTTACAAATGTTTATCCAGTAGCTAATATATGCCAGGCACTCTTGACACACTTAGGGACAGTAGCAAACAAACCTGACAAAAATCCATGCCCTCATGAAACACATTTTAGTAGGAGAAGACAGAATAAAATAAGGAAATTATGTGATCTTATAACAGACACCTATAAGCCAATGATGAAAAATACAGGAAGTGAAATAGGGTCGGGTGTGCAATTTTAAATAGTTTGGTCTGTAAAGGCTAAGAAAGTAACATTTGAGTAGACTTGAAGCCACTGAGTAAGTAAACCCTGTAATTATTTGGAGGAAGAGTTGAAACAAAGGGGGGAAAAAGGAATATAAAGTTTCTGTAGTGGGAGTATGCTAAGGTAGTGTGGCTGGAGCTTAGTGAGAAAAGGAAAAGAATGGTGAAGAGGTCAGAGAGGTACTGGATCGGGAATGGGGAAGGGGAGAAGTGTCAAATTGCGTAGTACCTTACAGGCCATTATGACTACTCCAATGAGATGGAAAACCACTGGAGTGCTTTTAACAGAGGAGTGACATGAATTTTCATAAGGTTTAAAGGGATCATTTTGGTTACTAGATTAAGAATAGATAGTAGGGAAGAATGTGGAAATGGACACCATTTAGGTAGTTATAAAAATAACGTACATGAGAGGCAATGGCAACTTGAATCAGAGTGATTAGGTGGCCCTAGTGGGACATGTGAAAGTTGGGCCAGCATGACTAGTGGTAGAGTGGATGTAGGATATGAGAGAAAGTGTTCCAAGCTGAGCAAGTGGAAGGGTGGATTTACTATTAAATGAGATAGAGAAGACCCAGTGGAGCAGGTTTGGGTGGGGTAAGCTTAGGACATGTTAAGTTTGAGATACGTATTAGACATCCAAGTTAGAGATGAGGAGTAGGCAGTTGGATAAATAAGTCTGGAGTTGATTTGGTTATAAATTTGCAGGTCATTGGCATTTAGATTTAAAGGCCAGAACACTAGAGGATACCCTCACAGAAGTATATATACATAGAAAATGATGAGACCTAAGGATTGAGATCTGATGTACTCCATTGGTAAAAGGTTAGGGAGATACAGAATAATCAGCAGAAGAGACTTAGAAGAAGTGGTCAGTGAGGCAGAAAAAAACCCAGCAGAATGTGGTATTTTGCAAACCCACTAAAGGTATTTCAGAGAGAATGACATGATGTCATATACCATGATTAAAATCATAGATTAACTGAGAACTGGATCTTGACTATTGTATCTGACTTAGTAACATTGCAGCTTAGTATCTTTAATGATCAATTAATGTTGGTGAGAGCAACAACTTGATTAGAGTAGATCAAGAGGGAATAGGTCCTCCTATGTATTGGAGACAGCAAGTGTGGACAAGTCTTTAAAGGAGTTTTGCTATTAAGAAAAACAGAGATAGGGTAATAGCATTCAATTATCAAGAGATCACTGGCATCTTCTTAAGTTTTCCATTTTCATGCATTTACACATGCCATTCCTTCTTCCTGGAATACCCTTTCTAACCTTGATGCCTGACAAATTCTTTGTTTTTAAGACTTATTTATTCACTTAAAAGATATGTATTGTGTTTGTATTATTTGTCAGGCACTAGTCTGTGAGCTGGAAAATACATCAGTGAATAAAACAGAAAAAATCCATGACTTTCTAGAACTTTCTAGTTGGTAAGAAATTAGTAAATTCTGTAGTATATTAGATAGAGATTTAGATGCTATGGGAAAAAAATAGAGACGGGTAAGAGTAATCAGACATGCTAAGGGAAGGAGCTGCAGTTTTGAAAGGCCTCACTTAGAAAAGCAAAGACTTGGAGGAGAGTGAATTCGCCATTTCTGTATCTAGAGGAAGAGCTTTCTCAGTAGAGAGAATGACCAATAGAAAGGAAAGGACCTGAGGCTGAAGAATGGCTGCCGTCTGCCAAGCAGTTAGAGCTTGGTGGCCAGTGTGGTCTGGAAGGAATGGGCTGGGAGACAAAAGGAAAAATTCAAACTGGAGAAATGAGAAGAAGAGCAGATGATGGAAGGACTTGACCATTGAAGGACTTCAGTGTTTATTCTGCGAGAAATGGGGAACCATTGGAGACTTTTAGATTGTGTAGACTAATAAATACACTGTAGTGAGGGCAGCAGTGGAAGCAGAAGTATAAGAGGCTATTAAAATAATTCAAGGGGATCCCTGGGTGGCGCAGCGGTTTAGCGCCTGCCTTTGGCCCAGGGCGCGATCCTGGAGACCTGGGATCGAATCCCACGTCGGGCTCCCCGGTGCATGGAGCCTGCTTCTCCCTCTGCCTGTGTCTCCGCCTCTCTCTCTCTCTCTCTCTGTGTGACTATCATAAATAAATAAACATTAAAAAAAAAAGATTTAAAATAATTCAAGTAAAGTGTATCAGCACCTTGGTCTAGGCTGATAGTAGTAGAGATACTGAGAAGCAGTCAGATTCTAATGTATTGTGAAGGTTGATTGGGATATGAGAGATTTTTGGCCAGAGCAATTAGAAGGATGGAGTTGCCATGAACCGAAATAGAGAGGGCTCTGAGTGAAGCAGGTTTGGGCAGAGTAAGTTTGCTATGCCCTGTTTTAGTTACTCAAGTAGTGCTACTTAGTATATGGATACTAATGGAGAGCATTTGGAAGCCTAACTTGATAGAATCCAGGACAGTCTTCCCATCACAAGATCCTCAACGTAAACATATCTGTAAAGACGCTTTTTCTTCATGAGGTTTAGAATGATGGGGATTGGGACCTGATATCTTTGGGGTATCATTTTTTAGCCTACTATGAAGGATTAGGATGAGGGAAATGAGGGTGACTTGGGGGTCCGGAGGTTCTGTGATTGATATAAAGAGGATAGTGAGATTAGTCCTGTGGACTTAGGGAGGTAGTGGGAAGAGGCTGAATATTAGGAGTTAGGCAGCACAGGTAACTGCGTTTCTCTGAAATGGAAGCAAGGAGGTGTGGGGAGGGGATAGGAGTTTACAGAGGTTGGTCTTGTCTAAGTACATAGCTTAGCATCAACTGTACCTTCTCAATAAAACCCTTCTGGTTCTTTTCCTCTGCCCAGGCAGATTTAATTACTTTTATGCATTGTGTGTTATATCAGTTATTCTTGTCTGAGTATGATGTGATTATCTTCTTCTTTCCACTATTAGACCTTAACTCAAATGGACAAATAGACATGTTCAAGATCTCCTGCTTATTCCTCCAAATTAGCTAGCCCCCAATCCCATAAGATTGGGTTTATCTGTTCTGTGCATTCTCTAAGGTTACACTTCTTACAATGTATCAAAATAGGATCTGTACCCACATTGGACTCTGCATTCCATGACTATGCATTCCTGTATGACCATATCCTGTTTTCTGTCCCCAGTGCCTAACCTAGCTCCTGATGCATAGATATAATAATATAGGTTTGAATGAAAAAACAGTCCTTCCCTTTTTTGGATACTACTTTAAACCACTTTTGACTAAATGCATACTTTCAGATTTAGACAAAGTGTTTTTACAAAATACTATCAGTTGTCCCTTTTTCTTTTATTAATCAATACTCTGATTTCTTTATTTTTTTTATTTTACTTTAGTGATGGAGCACCCAGTGATGGACACTGGCTCACTTTATACTTCTGGAATTAACAGACATGGGAAAGACAAAAGAATTTCAAAGACTGGGAAGTTGAATGTTTCTCTTGCTTCAAAAATCAAAACAAAAATCCTAAGTAAGTGCCATTAGTTTTAAAGTATGCTCACATTTTTACTTTCCCCTAGAGAATTGATATAATGTTTGGTCCTTTATTTTATCGAGTATGGAAATTATTAAAAAGATTATTTTTGTTAATTGATGTTTTGTCCATTCAATCTTTCCTGTCTCCTTCAACTCCTGTTAATTGAGGGGTTATGATGATTTACCCTCAGTGCTGACAGTAGAATTTTCAGCAGTAAGGCTGATGTAGCCTAAGGCAGCTACCTCCTACACAACAAAGAAAATACCATGTGATGTTGCTGGAAAAGAGCTTTAAAAAAAAAAAAAGTGACCTTGTTCTAGCATGCTGTAGCAATAAGATGATGGGTAATCTAGATGTGGTGGGCCCAGATAGAGTGTTGTAGTGAATGATTTTTGTATAGCTAAAGCTCATGAGGGTACTAAGCATTTGGAGATAGGGTTTCATAGATTCTGGAATTAAGGTTTCAGAAGTAGGGGAAAAAAGAAGTAGGAAAAACTTCCAAGATAAATTCTCATCATTTCTGAAAATGATCTCCATGGTTTGTAACCCAGAGTAGGAAAAGTTTCCAGCTGATATAGCACCTGTGAAGGGTGACTGTGTGTGCCCTGTGAAATAGCTAACATCCTGCGTATCTTTTTTTTTTTAAAGATTTTATTTATTTATTCATGAGAGACACAGAGAGAGAGAGAGAGAGGTAGAGACACAGACAGAGGGAGAAGCAGGCTCCATGCAAGGAGCCCGACATGGGACTCGACTGGGTCTCCAGGATTAGGCCCTGGGCCGAAGGCAGCACTAAACCACTGAGCCACCTGGGCTGCCCACATTTCTGATTTAAATTATATTTACATAGTGCTTGTAAAGGGAAGGGGTCAAGTTTTAGGTTGCAGTAAATGCCTAGAGATAAGAGTTGAATATTTAGAATAGAGATAGAAGATCCCACAGGGTTTAGATGATCTGTCCAACCCTAGAGTAAGTATGCTTCCTTTCACTCAAGATTTTGAAAAATGGACTTTGAGAGCATTAACTGATTTGTTCAGTTCTGGAGCCACAGAAACTGGCTTTAAAATTTTGACAGATTGGCTACCCTAATACCTACTCCAGTTAGAGCTTTAGAATCAGCTTCTCCATTCTACCTCCTAGTCAAAGTAGGAAGGAAAATAGGGCAACAGGTAGCAAACTGACTTTTATGACTGGTATAATTATCTAGCATACTATGTCTATCCTAGATGTCTTTATCCCTGACTCCGTATTTAAAACATTCTACATTCCTCACAGCTCTTTTATTCTTCTTCTGTCTAGCTTTTATTTCTGTGGATCCAAGCTCGATACATTTTTTTCAAAACTACATCTAGACTGTCATTCTAGACTGTCATCTAGACTGTCATTCCAACCCTAGTTAAAACTTGTATTTTACCTAAAATAGTTTCATTAAGGATATAAAAACTATGAAGATGTAAGTTCAATATTAACTTCTAAAATTTTTTTACAGACAATTCTTCTATTTTCAAAATTTCTTTAAAGCACAACAACAGAGCATTAGCTCAGGCTCTTAGTAGAGAGAAAGAGAATTATCGAAGAATTACAACTGAAAAGATGCTATTGCAAAAAGAAGTAGAGAAACTGAATTTTGAGAACGCATTTCTTCGCCTAAAACTAAATAATTTGGTATGGAAACTATATTGTGTTTGAATTCTAAATTATAGAATAATTATTAACTATATTATTATAGAAGCTCTAAAAATTTTTTCAAATCTCAAATTATTGTAAAAAATTATTGAAAGTATGCCATATTAGTGGACAGACTCTTAATGGGTAATAAAACAGATATCGTAAGTCTTACATTCTGAATGGGCACTTAGGGCTCTGCAAACCAGTATAATAACTTGATCGACATTTGATTGTTTATCATTAGCCAATCTTGATGCATTAATACATTTTAAAAGGATGGGCATAATTCTTCCAACGAAAGGAGGGGAATTCCCAGAGTGTTTGTATTTTTTTTTAACCCTAGCATTCCCTTGGCTACACACAAAATAGAATGAAGATTGTAGTCGTTGCTTTCCCTTCCAATTTCCATCTCTGTCCACAGAATGGTCAGCTAGGCTGCAACCATAGATCTAACTCTGAAATGCAGAAATTAATTTAAAATGGAAAAATTGATCTCTTCCTGAGTGTTAAATTGCCTGACAAACTATGTTTACTTGCCATGGGATGTATTATTATTGGAAGATAGAGGAATGTTTATAAGAAAATTTAAAATTGAGAGCTCAAAAGCAGTCAAGGGATGTGTGTGTCTGAGTGTGTGTGTGTGTGTGTGTGTGTGTGTGTGTGAACTATAGAATGTAGCACCCTTTTAGCTTAGCATGATCTCAGTTATTTTCTAAGTCTTCTCAGCTGATGATATCCATAATTGTATGATACAATAAACCCTGAATCTTAATTGATTAAGAGAGGTCTTTATTTTACACATACAGAATAAGAAGCTTATAGAAATAGAAGCACTCACGAACAATAGCTTGATAACTGCAATTGAAATGAGCACTCTTTCTGAGGTAAGAGTTTATGTGTAAGTAGTAGTATTTTTTAAGCATCACTTAGGATATTTGAGATTCAGTGGCATCAAGGTTGGGGATTCATATTTTAAGCTTTGTGTGAAGAAATGTTGATAGTTCAATTTTAACTGGCTAACAGCATATTATCATTTGGTATAATTGGTTATTAAAACTTTTATATAAAAATTAGGTTTTGATTAGAAGTAACACAGGATTAGATAGTTCAGTGGAACATAATGGCCCCCAAACTGTTAAAAACGTAGAAGACATTCTTAGAACGTATTCATAGTATTTCAAATTAGGAAATAATTTGTATTATTAAAAAAAGGATGAGCACAATTGAAAACTATTTGTATTATTAAAAAAAGGATGAGCATAATTTGTATTATTAAAAAAAGGATGAGCACAATTGAAAAGGAAAAAATAGAGGCAGGTCCTACTATACACCAATCTCTAAAATAAATTCTAAATGGATTTTTTTTTTAAGATTTTATTTATTTATTCATGGGAGACACAGAGAAAGACCTAGGCAGAAGGAGAAGCAGGCTCCCTGCTGGAGCATGATGCTGGACTTGATCCCAGAACCCCTGGATCATCACCTGAACCAAAGGCAGATGCTCAACCACTGAGCCACCCAGACATCCCAAATTCTAGATGGATTTAAATAAAAAAGGGAATCTTTTTTTTTTTTTTTTATAAATTAATTTTTATTGGTGTTCGATTTACCAACATACAGAATAACACCCAGTGCTCATCCCGTCAAGTGTACCCCTCAGTGCCCGTCACCCATTCACCCCCACCCCCCACCCTCCTCCCCCTCCACCACCCCTAGTTCATTTCCCAGAGTTAGAAGTCTTTATGTTCTGTCTCCCTTTCTGATATTTCTCACACATTTCTTCTCCCTTCCCTTATATTCCCTTTCGCTATTATTCATATTCCCCAAATGAATGAGAACATACACTGTTTGTCCTTCTCCGGTTACTGTGGCCAAGTTCAAAAAGGGTGTTGCCTGAGTTCTTCTCTGGGATTTTGATGGAATCTTGTCTCACATTTAGATCTTTCATCTATTTTGAGTTTATCTTTGTGTATGGTGCAAGAGAGTGGTCCAGTTTCATTCTTCTGCATGTGGATGTCCAATTTTCCCAGCACCATTTATTGAAGAGACTTTCTTCTAGTGGATCGTCTTTCCTCCTTTATCGTATATTAGTTGAGCATAAAGTTCAGGGTCCACTTCTGGGTTCTCTGTTCTGTTCCATTGATCTATATGTCTGTTTTTGTGCCAGTACCACACTGTCTTGATGAACACAGCTTTGTAGTACAACCTGAAATCTGGCATTGTGATGCCCCCAGATATGGTTTTCTTTTTTTAAAATTCCCCTGGCTGTTTGGGGTCTTTTCTGATTCCACACAAATCTTAAAATAATTTGTTCTAAGTCTCTGAAGAAAGTCCATGGTATTTTGATAGGGATTGCATTATACGTGTAAATTGCCCTGGGTAACATTGACATTTTCACAATATTAATTCTGCCAATCCATGAGCATGGAATATTTTTCCATCTCAAAAAAGGGAATCTTATAAAGTACAAAGAAATTACAAATAAATTCATGTTAGATATGAAAGATTTTTTTATTTTTTAAATTTTATTTATTTATTTATTTATTTATTTATTTATTTATTTATTTATTTATTTGACAGAGAAAGATTGTTCCAAGAGAGCCAAGCAGGGGGAGCAGCAGAGGGAGAGGGAAAAGCAGGGAGCCTAACACAGGGCACAGGCTCAGTTCCAGGACCTGGGGATCATGACCAGAGCTGAAGGCATATGCTTAACCGACTGAACCACCTAGGCACCCAGGAGAGGCCTTCCTTTACCCAGAAACAAAGATAGAAAGATAGAAGCCTTATAGGAAACTATTGATGGATTTTCTCAAAAGAGATTTTAGAAGGCTAAAAATAAAAATTAAAGGCCAATGGCAGACTGGGAAAAATTAAGCATATAGCAGATAAAGTATATATAAACTTTAAATAAATATATAAAATATGCACACAACACACATAATTTTTTTTTTCTTTTTGAGATTTTGTTAATTTACTTGAGAGAGTGAGTGAGAGAGAGCAGGAGCAAGGGGAGGGGCAAAGGGAGAGGGAGAAGCAGACTCCCTACTGAGTAGGGAGCCTGATGTGGGCTCTATCCCAGGACCCCAGGACCTCAGGATCATGACCTAAACAGAAGACAGACACTCAACTGACTAAGCCACCCAGGTGCCCCAAAGCATTAATAAATATTAATATTAATATCTCTTATAATCTATTATGAGGAAAATCAAATCACTAGAAAAATCAGGAAGGGAAAAGGGCCAAATATTAGTGAAATAGGGAAAATAATTGCTATGAATTAATAATGAGAAGACAAAATATACATAATAAAACTGAAGAAAGGTTAGTAAAGTCTCAATTTAGGTAAATTTCTTGATAGATTCTGGAGGCACTTGAGTGCTTTAGAGGACAGCTTTTACTTTATTTATTTTCTTTAAAGATTTTATTTATTGGGATCCCTGGGTGGCGCAGCGGTTTGGCGCCTGCCTTTGGCCCAGGGCGCGATCCTGGAGACCCGGGATCGAATCCCACATCGGGCTCCCGGTGCATGGAGCCTGCTTCTCCCTCTGCCTGTGTCTCTGCCTCTCTCTCTCTCATTCTATGTGACTATCATAAATAAATAAAAATTTTAAAAAAATTAAAAAAAAAGATTTTATTTATTCACGAGAGAGAGAGAGAGAGAGAGAGAGTGAGGCAGAGACATAGGCAGAAGGAGAAGCAGGCTCCATGCAGGGAGCCCGATGTGGGACTCGATCCCCAGTCTCTAGGATCAGGTCCTGGGCTGAAGGCGGCACTAAACCGCTGAGCCACCCGGGCTGCCCAGAGGGCAGCTTTTAAATGAGTTTGCCCGTAGTATTTCGATCCCAGCTCTGTTACTTCCTGGTCCTGTGATCTTGGCCTTTAGCTATCTGAACCTTAGTGTCCTCTTCTGCATGATGTGGATAATAGTAGTATACCTAACGAAGAATTAGTGTAATGTTAAATGTGGCTAGCATGTGTCCTGGCAATAGGAAGAGTGTAATAAATATTAGGTGTCATTACTTTTTTTTATTATCGTGTGTGTATCTTCCTGTTTTTTCTAAATTTCCTGCAAATCTCTTCTTTTAAAAACTTATAAAAGTCCTTTTTAAGGCTCCTAATGCATAGTCTTTGTAGTAAGAAGATAGGAACTCTTTCAACCTATGTGATCAGTGTTTAGCTCCTTTGAGAGTTTTATAAAAGCTAACCAAAGAGTATGTACTTAATCCACATTTGGATAAAGAAAGGATTTGTATAAATGTTCCTGTAGAAGAATGTCCACAGGTTGTATAGTTACTAGTGTTACTATAAATTTGATGTCAGTACAACCGGTGAGCAGAGATAGGCCTTATACATTTAGTACCCTCTAAGGAGAAGAGATGCTTTTCACTGAGTGGGTGGGTAGGGAAAGTCAGGGAGGGGGCTCTGTTTTGCTGATCAGCTTGCAGGGCTGAATCAAATTGCCCTGAATAAGTTACTAAGACTAGAATCAGACATAGCAGTGGGGAGTGTAGAGTTAGTACAAGAATTGACTTGGAGAGTAAGAGAAAGAAGTTAATTAATTAGTGAGTTATGTGATATAAAGCTCCTTCCTCCCACTGGTTCTTTAAAAAAAATCTTTAGTAAAGTCAACATAATTGCCAGATGCTTTTTGTGTTCTCTTTGGAGTGCTCGAAGAGGGCTGAGATCAGCATCTGGATTTAGGAGAAGTAAAGGAGAGTAAACGAACGCAGAAGCTGGAGGATGAAAGGACAGCATACAACTTTGGTGTCTACTTTCTTACACTTACTGTTTAACAGACTAACTTGCACATCAGGTTTCGAGATTTGAATTCCTTTTCTTTTTAGGTGAAGGAGAGGATGTTAGGATGTCTACATTAGAATGTAGACATTCTAATAGAACAATATAGCCAAGTATAGAGTGAAGGCTTATATATGCTTCTGTTCTGCTTTTAGCTGCTTTCTTCTTTCTCATTTTATCTCCTCATACTCATACAGGGAACTGCTTTGTTTCTTTGTATTAAAACAAAAGCATAAATATTTTCTTAATTTTCTTTTTTACGCAAAAGATAATATACTATCTCTAATTGTTCTTCTATACCTTGCTTTTTTTAATGTGACATATCTTGAAGATCTCTCCATATGATTACAATGAGTGCTTCCTCATTCTTTTATAGTGCTCCTTAAAGTAGATCTAGAATGGACTTCTAAACTATTTAACTAGACTCTGGGTTGGACACTTGGGTTGTCTTTTGCTGTTTTGGCTTGACATTAGTGTAGAATGCCTTTTGCTCTTGCATTGTTAGTTTTTTCCCTCCCTTCTGGATTATTCCCATGCAAAAATGTTGTCTCCTAGCTCCCATCTTAAAAAAAAAAAAAAAAGAAAAGAAAGAAAGAAAACTCTTACTCAGATAAATCCCCTACCCCTAGCTAACTCTCTCATTTTTTTTTCCTTTATAACAAAACTCTTTGAGAGAATTGTTCACACTGTCTCTGGTTTCTCTTGAACCCACACTAATTGGGGTTTTACCACCATTCCACTTAAAGTGCTCTTCTGCAAATTGATCTCTGTATCCAAAACCTAGATATTTCTTGGTCCTTATACTGGCCTATACGTGACTTTCACAATACTACACTCTCCTAAGTTTCTTTTCACCTTTCTGATTCTTTTTTAGTCTGCTGGTTCCTCTTTATTTTGGGTACCCCAGAACTCAGTTCTTGGACTTCTTTCTCTCTTCTATTTACACTTGTTCCCTAAATGATTCATTCATTCTCATGGATTTAATTATTGTTAAATACCCATGACTCTCAAATTTATACTTGTAGCCTGGCCATCTCCTCTGAATTCCAGAGAACACCCAGCCAACTACCTATCTGGCATTTCTCTT